AATATTTTTTCTTGTAATTCTATTCTTTTAATAAATAAAGTGATATAAAATGTACCATTTTTCGTTTTTATTTTACATATCGGAATATAGGGACAGAACTCACAAGTGACACAATTTTTATTTTTTGGCGACTTTAAGAATGTGGTAGAAATGTAGCAGCAGGGGGTCCACCGAAACCAGTAAAATTTTGAAAGTGGTCCACGAGAAAAATAAGTTTGGGAACTACTGATCTATATCGTCCACGCACCAAATTTTAATATTAATTTTAAAAATTTAATTTGTAAAATGCAAATATTTGAACAATAAATTGAATGTTTACTGTCACAAAAAATTAAATTGTATAAAAAATACATTTAGCCGCTCCGAACCAATATCAATATTCTTAGGAAATCTAACTAGAAAGTATACGTGTGGTTTAGTATAAATAAAAGAGCAACTGAACTATACTTTCACTTTCTAGTCATTTTTACGAGTAGATATTTAAACAGTTCAACGAAAAAAAATTCAAATATAATTGCACAAATTTAAAATTAACTTCTCACTGAACACACTTACATCCTTGGCTCTATAAAAGCGATCGATAAAAGAGTAATTAATACAATCTCTAAAAAAACGCAAAAAACAAGCGTCGTTACACAATGAAAATAAGATTATGACATATGATTATGACAATCATATATAACAATATGATGAGAATGAAAAGTTGGTTTCCATAACAATGTATAATTTGTACTTTCAACCGTATAAAATTGTGATTATTGTGGAAATATGTGCAACGTTTAATGCGCATGGGGGGGGGGGGCGCAAAGTGGGGTCCTCGGAAAAGACAAACCTATTCAACATTTCATAAGCGCAATAAAGAAGGTTTGAAAATGGCATGTCGTGGAGACATCGTTTTTAATGCTAATTGTATGGATTTAATGCTAATTTATGCATCCACGTAAATACTCGTATACGTATACGATCTAGGGTTCTTGATACCGTTTTTTTAACTTTAAAAGTACTTTGTTTTAAATCGCTTTATTTTCAGTTGATTAATAACAAATACATTATCTTATTAATTTTTTTTTGTTTCTTTGACCTGGTATACTATATATTTTTTTCCTTTTTATTCTTGGCTCCAGGTCGTTGGGGTTGCAAAGATCGTTGCAGAGACCGTTCTGTATAAAACATATTTATCTATATATATATACAGAACGGTCTGCTAGAAAATACATACGTGCTCTATACTAAAGTGTGATGTCCAAAAACAATTAAAATAATAGTTTTAATATGTGTTATTGTGTTTTGTCCAGTCTAAACAATTTTTAATTCTGTAGGAATCTACGTTCAAGACTTGAAAAAGACATATACTGTCGAAACGTCGTCATAAAAATAAAATAATGAACAAAATCTAGTAACATCTTTGCAACCCCAACGACCTAAAGCCAAGAATAAAAAAAATTAATATTATTTCTAGACATATTTTACTAAAATACAGTTTAGACGTCAAGATGTAGTAGATAATCACAAGTTTGACATAATTAGATTCGACAGAGTTACAACTTTAAAGGACTAAGGGAAGTCTCTTTACAAAAACGTGATGTACCGCCCCAATTATACCACCCTTCAGATAATATGCTATTACACGTATATCATGTTCCGGAAATAATAAGGGTGTAGGGCTGTCCTAAAGAGTATATTAAATAATGTAGGGTCTTTTTAGTACGAGCGGTAAAAATGAACAACTTCCGTTTTCTCCACCTTAGCGATTAGCCCCACCCATTGTTTGATTGATCATTGAGATTACGTTACCGACAACCTGTTATAATCCATGCAAATTTATATATTGTAGGATGTGTATATAAATATGGCAATAATGCTGGCGAAATAAATACATCTTTCAGTTTTATGATAAAAATATTTTTCTATTTTTAATGTTCTGAAATTGACGTACAAAATTTTTGTTAAAAGCATGTCAGGCGGAGATAATAGGATAACAGTTTATTGATTTAGATTTAGAATAATTCTGGCCTCGAAGCTTTCCTGGAAAAGGAACACGGAGGAAAGGATGATGAAGGGAATAAATGCATTCTATGCATATATAAGAAAATGTACACTGCTGTACTTAGACCAATCATCGCCTATGGATCAGTAGTATGATAGGAAGCGATATTTAAAGAGACTAACAGAAAATACTCACAAAAGTACAGCGATTAGAAGCTCTAGGCGCAACTGGAACAAGGAACAACACAGCGCAAGCTGCGCTAGAAGTAACTCTAGGCTTGCAATCAATCGACCGGCTCGTAAAAGATCTGGCCTCTAACGGTGCCCTACGATTAAGGAAATCGAAACGGTGAAACCAGACCAACTTGAGTCACTCGATTATATTGCCAATGATAGGCAAAATCATGGCAAATACGACTCTACATCTGCTAGGCCAGAAAACGCTCTTCACCAAACATGATTTTGGAGAAAAGATACGGATTCGCATCCGGACAAGAGAAGAACGGGAAAGCAACCGAGTAATGAACACTCAATAAATAGCAGTCTACACAGATGCTTCCGCATCTTCTCAGAGGAACTAAACATCCGACAATCTTTAAGACTATCGGATGGCTGTAATGTTCTACAAGCAGAGGTTTACGCTATGAAGGAAGCGGCTAGTTGTATACGAGAAAAAATCGCTGACAGACCAATAGGCGATATCGTGATATACTCTCACAGATGGGGCGTCTTTAGAAGCATCACCATGCGGTCAGTGAGATCCAAAACTGGCCACAACAATGTTGTGGGCAACCAAGAAGCGGACAGGCAAGCCAAAGGAGGGGCCAGGGGAGAGGCCGTGGCCGATAACCCACCACTTGTGACGATCAACACACTTAAGGAAGCTATATAGAAACTACCATCAAGGCCAAGCAGCAAGAGGCGTGGCAACACCGTGAAGACTGCGCTACAGCTCAAAGACTGTGGCCAGTGGTAGATAGAAAAAAGACAAAACAACTATTAGGAGCACAAAAAGAACCTAGTACTCATAATTGTAGGTGTTAACACTGGAAACTGCCCCAAGGGGGGAAAACCTCGTGAGATGGGAGATTTCCAACGACGACTACTGCAGAAAATACGGAGAGACAGAAGAAGCCATAGAGTATCTGTTGCGCCAGTGTCCGGCACTGTAATACCTATGCTTTAAAACTTTTGGGCAAGGTTTTTTGGAGAGACTAGACCCCGGAGGCTAGCTTTCCATCCAGTTTATGGCATGAACGGTTGTCGTCTCGGCGTACTCAGTGATGAGGTGTTCTGGTGTTTCCTATTTTCCCTACGGAATCAGCATTTGCAGTTGTTTCTCAGCTTCAATCTACTGAGGTGTTCGTTGAGGAGAGTGTCCCGTTAGAAACTCTTTGATTTTTCTCAGTCTATTGCAGTTCCGAGAAACTTTTTCGAGGTTTTAAGACCGTTGGATGTCCCATTCCAGGTTACGGATGGAGTCTTCCAGGTTCTGGTCCGCCGGTTCTGGTCCAGTTAGTGGAGTGTTCGCTCCTTTTCTATCTAGATCGTTTGCTTTTTTATTGCCTTCTATCCCTTAGTGAGCGGGCACCCAGAATACGAGGACTTTGAAAAAAAAAACCTTTAGTAAACCGGAGTTTAAGTTAACCATAACAAAATAATTTTGGGATTACGCTTATTTTGTGTATGTTGATTTATTTCATTACTTTCGTTAGCCTTTTATTCAATGATCGTGACTTTCATAGGAATGTAGATTATCTCTAAAGTACCCGGTCTGTCAGAATAAAATGGTTCTGGTTTAGTTACGAAATTTGTCAGTATTTAAGCCAATAAAGTAGGGATAGTCCTTCAAATAAAAGGCAAGCATCCAAGAAAATATATAATTCAAACAAAAATTACATTAGGCACATAAGGGGCATACATAGTCACACGGAGAATACAGCAGATCATTTTTTGTATTCTTCTTAGAGTGCCTGTAGTGTGTGCGCTACGGACGTGATCATTCTGGTTGTAATGCTTTTGTTGGTAGCACTGGAGCAGCTCATACCTTCCTTGGTTTCTTCCTTGCTTACTGCTTATCGTCACATTAGTCAAATGTGACGATATTGACGAGCTCTGGGGTTCTCTCATTCGTCTCAGATCATCGAGGTATGTGACTTTGTCCGTCAACGGTATTCTCTGGATTCTCCTGGACAGCCAGAGTTCAAAGGCTTGGAGTTTTGATATGCTGTTCTCCTTTAGGGTCCAGGTCTCTACGCCATAGAGGAGAACCAAGTAGACATAGCACTTTAGAAGTTTTTCTATATTTCTAGAGTTAAGCCTTGGCTTTTAAAAACTGCGCTCATGGTTAAAAATGCGCTTTTATTATATTGTATTAGTGTGTCCCAATTCTACATAAAAGAACCTAGTATTTAGAAAAATATTTAAAATTTTGAATATATATGAGAAACCCGGTTATCTTTATTCTTTGAAAGTTTCTTGTTTAATTTAATTATTCTATGTCTGACAAAAGGAATATCCCTCAAAAAAAATTAAGTATATTTTCATAGTTACACAAATTTGTGTAACAGTAAAGAACCCCTGAATAGTTTACATCCGTAGTTCTAAAATAAGTGGGGTTTTACCAACAGAAATAGATTTTTCCATTTTTAGATTTTCTATTTTTCTGACCCCTAAAATCTATTTTCTAGTAATAAAACATTTTTTTTTCGAACAATCAAAGCCTGATATATTAGAATCAATATGTTTTAACGCTATATAACGCATATTAACCGAACAAAAAGCAATTTACTTTTTCTGACTGGTTTCTCAGTGTAATACACAAAACCTTGAAGATTTTTGAAACTTTTCTCAGTGTATTGGACCAATCAGCGATCGTTTTTTCAAGTGTCTGTATGTGTGTTGACAATCTCGGCCTTGAATTTTGAAGGCGCTTTGTCTTACGACTGACAATCCGATTGGATAATATCGGAACCCTTATCTGGTCTATCCGAATCGCAATAAAAAACTTAATCAAAAGGTATTCCTCTGAAATTGAATCGGTAGTTTGGGCTAATTACGGCGTACTTTTGAAGATTAGTCGGTTTCCGTGAAGTTTCCCAGACACATCGGAAAAGTTTCGGTGCTTTTAATTTTTGATTTTTTTTTTCTGGAGAAAATGACTTTGACAGTGTGTAAGTTAAATATTATTATTAGTTTTTTTAGTTACTCTATATAATATATTTTTGTAATAGTTAGTTTTTGTACCCTCATCTTTCATGAAATACATATTGCTATAAATAAATAGAATTACAAATATTTTGCTCAATTCGTTAGTTGATTCTGTGTCACAGTTCTGCGCACAGCATGGAACTCGCTGCTCAATATTATTAACTTTAAGTTTTTTATTCAGAACTTGAGAAATATATTTTTTTGAGTTCTGAAGAACATCCTCCTCTTATAGAACATTAAGGCTACATGTTTCATTTCAAATATATTTTTTCGGTCTGTCAATTTTTCTTTAGAAAATAAAATTTTTGTCTCTATATCTTGTCTCTATGTTCATATTAATACATTGATTTATCACATGAGTCACATTTTGACAAGTGGCAAAATGTTACTCCTCTTGAAGTCAGCCATCTTTAAATGGCTAAGGAGCACTTTAAGTGGCTAAGTAGCCACTTAAAGATGGCTGACTTCAAGAGAAGTAAGGATAACACTAAAATTTAAAATGAATTTTCAAAAACTCGTAAGCAGTAAAACGTAGTTATGGTTACTGAATAAGCTGTAATTTAGACCAGTTTAGTACTAGAATTCTTCTTCAGTATATTCAACGCCAAGATGAACAGTAATACTTTCAAATATCCAATCAATTCATAATATGTGATCAAATAAAAATAACGTTGAAACAGGCACAGTATCACATCACTTCAATCATATCACATCGTTTTCAACGAGCGCAATCCGGGATCAAAGGATTAAAACCATAGGCCCATTGAATCTTTTCTACATTATTTTACAAAAAACGCCCATTGTCTAAGTTAACAGTCAACTTAATTTAGAAATGAAGATGGGAATAGTGTTAGGGACATGGTCTCTTCCAAATAATAGCAACAGTAGGCAAGACTCAAGGTGTTATATGGTGTCGTCTAAACCTGTAATGGTTTAAAGGCAAAAACGTGACAGTTGCACTAGTATCCACATCCTTTCCATTCTGCCAGTCTTATGCTCGATGAGGAAGTTTTTTTGCCTTCAGGACAGGAAATCGAAAAAGGCAGAAGAACGAACTCTGTTCGTTTTTGTTTTCTATATATGGATGTTTTCATTTCAGACGCCAGAAACTATGCCAGTGGGCTATTGGGTCTTTAACATCGTAATGAAATAGACAAAATGTTTGCGGGTTTTTTTATGCAGCATATTTAGTGTTAAGACTTTTAACCGTGTTATTTCTATTTTGCTATAGGTTTTTATACTGTGAGATACTCAACTGTCTTTCATCTTGGAAAAGGGCAAACCTATAGTGTGCGGGAGCATTATGATCTAGGCTTGGCTGTCATAAGATGTGTTCGATTACTGTGACCTTAAAGATCTACAGTGTCCTCATTCTTTGAGTTATAACTCATCATACAGTCTATAACCAATCGTACATGAGGATTTTCCAGTTGTAGGGAGAACAGGGTATAATCCCATCCTCCTTTTACAACAGATATTCTTCCTCCGAGTGTATACACCCTCCCACGGTTGGGGTTTGGCCCTCCGTTCACAGTCGAGGAGCTTGTCTCCGGCTGAGGTACCCGTGATGTGGAGGCTGGAGGATCCGTCTCCATTTTCTCCACCTCTTTAATTTGGTCTCTACTTATACCTGATACAGGTGTTTTCCCGAATCTATAATAGAGGATATCTTTCTCTATCGCCTCCTTGGATTTGAGGTCAATTCTTATTGTGAGGACCTGACCATGACCCTCCTCCCTCGAGTTGATGACTTGCCAACTCGATGTTCTTATATTGAAGTTCTCAGTCTGGATAAGGCTCAACAGGATGGTAGTGTCTCTCCCCTTGCTCCTCGGCAGAAAGACCGTAATGGTCGCCCCTTTTGGGATGTTTTCCACTGCAACCAGCCCCGACCCTTGCCAATTCTTGAGCTTAGGTGCCGTTTCCATCAACCGTCTATACCTTTGTCGCGAATTTATTTCTTGACAAAGTCTGGAATTTTCACCACTGGAATAATCTACAGAATAAAATAGTTGTTTTTGTAATCACCACTGTGGTGAATCCACATGACTTTTCTGTGAATTTTTTTCTAGTATATCAAGATTGCCTAACCGACAAAAAATGTTGTGTTTCAAAGGTATAGTGTTCAAAAATGTTTCAGGAGGTTGAGTTGGTACAAAAAACCTTTTTTATTTTGTAGATTTCTGTTTCTTGTCAATTCTTCTCTTTGTCAATGACCGTTCACAAGAACTGCACATTTTCCAGGCTGTCGCACCGGCATAAAACGTGTTCTGTCGTTTCTTCTTCAGATTGACAGAACATGCACATGGCCTCGCCTCGTCCAACGCCTACTGTGACACCGTTTTTATTAGATTTCCGGGCATTATCGAAGTCTTCTTCTTCATCTTCCTAATCTATATTAGGCAGATTGCCTGTTTACATCTTCGCATCATGCCTAGAGTTTCAATAGATAGTGAGGTTATCACACCATCTTTTTCTTGGCCTTCCCGTGCTTCTTCTTCCCAGTGGCGATTTCCAGCTGTGTTTACTATTCTTCTCTCGTCCATTCGGCTTTTATGTTCATTCCATTCGCGTCTTCTGCTCAATACCCATTTGTTAATACTATCCATCTTGCATGTTTGCCCTATGTTGTCGCTTCGTTCTCTATCTAGCAGCGTTCTACCTGTGATTTTGCGGAGGATTTTCATCTCGCCTGTTTCCAAGAATCTTTATATTTTAGCTGTATCCGGTCTTGTTTCTGCTGTGTAGGTCATTATGGGTCTGACGACAGCCTTGTATATTCATATGTTTTTTTTCCATATGGATCGTTCAGTCATCCAGCCACTTTCATTGCTTTTGTTGTTTTTTGCCTTACCTCTGTTTCGATATCGCCATAACCAGATAACTCTATATCTACTGAGATATTTAAATTCTTGCTGTATTATTGTGTTATCCACGACAATCTTGCATCTGATAGGTATTTTTAATGTTGTCAGGGTCTTTGTTTTGATGCAGAGATTATCATGTTATAATATTTTGCTACTAAATTGAAGCGATATACTAGTCTTTGGACTAATATATCGCTTCTTTACTAGTATTATCTTTACAATTATTATGGAAATAGACGTTAAAATTGTCTCACTCTATAGAATAATCCCAGAATGTTCGTCTATTGATATTTTACTTGACGTGTCTCATTAACCTGATAAAAATACGTCTGTTATCTTAAAGTTGGTGTAAGAGCCAGGTCGATAAAACATCAAACACAAAAAATAAATACTTGAGAAAAATCACGATATCGATTTCGAATAATTAAATTATAATCGACAGTTTTGAAATTTTACTATCGTACACTAAAATATCTATTTTTAGTCGACTGGATTAAGAACTTTAGCTTTTTCAAACCGTACCTTAATCCGACTAATTTCGTCTGATATAATAAAAAAATACTGATTAGCTGATTCTAAAAAGATCAATTTTTATTTGGGGTAATTTTTCCATATATTTATAAAGGGGGTTTCGATGAAGTTTTGTTAATAATATGTTATAGTCATAGACGAAATAACTATGAAATATTGTAAAAGAATTAGGCATTTAGTTAGGAGTAAGTTAAGTTGTTGATTTTATTAGGAAGTGTACTTCAATTTGAAAGTTTATTTATCATCAGCCACAATCAGTTTTATCGATGAAATCAAGTTATACTCGTTTTGAGATTTATTATGGTAATATAATAATATAACTAAGGTAGTAGCCTTTAAACTGTAGTGGTAGATACATGTATTGTCCATGGTGTAGCATTATTTCCGATATGTAGGTATTTTTTATTATTTAATCTATTTTAATTGTTCTGCTTTGCCATATTTAAAAACTGCATTGTTTTTTACGCTACTCGTTCGTTATTATTTAGGATATAATTTAGATAGAAATGAAAATTTCATAAATTAGAAATATTTGGAGGTGTACTTTCTTTATTAAATCTTGCTTACTTCCGCGCACTTTCATTGTTCTCTATTGTTGGCTCTGTGGGCCCAAGTTATCTCTGCTATAATATCATGGTCCCGTCTCAGGTATGGTTTTCTTCTAAGTCTCTTAATTCCGCGTGGGTACCATGCTGTAATTTTCTGGTCCATCTCTTGTCCGTCTTTCTTGCCAGGTGTCCTAACCTTTGCCACTTGAGAAATTTGATTCTGTGGATAACATTTATTACCTGGGTCTTTCGTCGTATCCACTCTATCGTTTTAAGGTCTAATATAACCATTCATATATATAGGGTGTCCCAGAAATAAGTGCAAATATTTTAACTGGTAGTATAGTTCAACCCCAGAAATACGCTTATGAAGTTTTTTTCGCGAAAAAAAAATTGAAAATTCGAAATTTTTTTAGTTTTTAGTTAAAAAACATAATTTCTTGATAATATGAAAACATAGGTATTAGATTAAATTTACAAGAAAGAAAATCCAGAAAAGATCCAGTGGTTCTCAAAATTTTAGCAAAAAATTATTTTCTTTGGAAATTTTCAAAGTAAAATAACTCCGTTATTTTGGACTTATTTGAAAAACAATAAAGAGAAAATATGTTTCTTTTATCGAGATCTACCACCCCTTAAAATATTTGCACTTATTTCTGGGACACCCTGAAATTTTATATTTTTATACCTATTTAAATTCTACATGATATTCTAAACACATATTTTATCTATGGTATTCTGTATTATTGTTTTCGATTGTCTTTTTGAAATTATGTTAATTTTCGTTGAAATATTACTAAAACTTTTTTCTGCAATGTTAGACGAATATGATTTTAATTTACATTTTTATGAGTATGTCACGTAAAATTATTATAAAAATTTAAATTTAAAACCACTTCTTGTCTTTTAGACATAAATTTATAAAAATATGCATCAATTTTGAAAAATGTATGAGTAGTAGATTCAAATGGTAATTTTTGAAAAAAAAATTAAAATATTTCATAAAGGTTTTAATAGAACATTGTATACAAAATATGCTGAGAATTTCTAAAAACCTTGATATAAAACTACAAAAAACTAGATATGTATCTATAGCAAAAAAAATATTCTTCTCATTCAATCTTTTTAAATTAAAACCAGTTCTGTTCTTACCCGTACTTACCATCTTATTTTTATTAAAAAATATTAAATTTTAATTATTTAATGATATCCTGTACTTCAGAGAATCCATACGTACTGCTTTGAAAATCAATAAGAATATTTTTTATTTTAATTCTAAATTCTAATATCTATACGTACTGTATTGTAAATAAACTGTGCAGAAATGTTATAAAATTTATTGCCATTCTCCCAACATACCAAAAATAGATGTTACTATTCCTGATAATAATACTATTTGTAATTAATAATTTATTGTACTTATAATTTATAATTTTGTTTAACATGTGTATATGTGTTTGATATGTATTATAATCGTTGTGTGTTGGATATATTTATGATATATCGGTTGAACAATTTTTTTCTTTTAAACTTTGGATACGAATTCTGTAGATCTTTATAATCAAACACATCGAAACAATATTTAAATTATTTTATTGAATTGCACACACTTAAAATACACAGTAAAGTCTAGTCTACACCTAATGTTTTATACCTGTCAGTCTAACGTGTTCTGTCAAAGGTGTCAAGTAAACCTTCTATGTAGACGAAAAAACGGTCTGTTTTACTTAAGATAGGACCCTCTAAAGAATTAACAAGATCATTCAGTTTTACAACCACAAAATAAAAAAGATATATTGCAGTATATTTAATATACGAGTTCCAATAATTTATTTTTTAAGTTAAATATTAATTGTTTAAAGATATTTAACGATTATTACCAAATGATACGATTTTAACAATCAACTTTGCTTGTTTGCCAATTAACTTTAAACCTTAAATACAATTTCGTAGTAAAATTCCATGTTTTTTTTTTCAACTTCACTAAACACAAATGTTAAAATTGATAAAACCACAGTTAAAACCTCCAGTGTATACGCTAATGTTTATTTTGTCTTACCTGAGGCAAAACTGACAGGTAAAACGTTAAGTGTAGACAGGGTTTTAAGTGGAAGAAATACTAGGTATAGGCAGTATCACTATCAATCGATTTTCACTACTTTACAATTTATCGTAATCAACTAAATATATTGGCCCGGCTTGACGCTTATATACCGAAAATTATATTTTGAGATTACACTTGATATCTCTTTAATGTGAATATTCAAGTCTATTTAATTATGCCCTATACACAATTTCAGGAATATTTGTAACAATTTTCAATAGTAAGTAAACTGATGGTCTGAAATTGTTAGCATTTACTAATTTTAGACATTATTTATACTATTTCATAAATAGTAAAATTCAAGGATTCCCTCTATATCTAGTGTAGAAATATTTTGAACATTTTCTATTCGAAATATTGAAAGTTTATTTTTTTGGGACAACCTGTACATCAACACACATATATCTAATACTTAAACACAACTAAACTTATATGGAATCATCTATTATTTTGCATAATTTTTGAGACGTATGAACATTTTGTGTTTATGAATAAAACTCAGTCCGTACCAAAGGCTTTTAATGAGAAATAATATATGGATTATTTCTTCATTCAGCAAAAATAAAATAATCATTTCCTAAAATAAACACAATGGTATTTTTTGGTTTGTGAAACGAAATGAGTTTTAAATTCTTAAAGGTCAAAAAGCAAATACAAAAAAAAATTGGTAATTTTAATAATCCATGCTAGCTCTAGTTCTTATGCAAGCTTCTATCTGCGCTGGCATGCTTCTTATTAAATTATCAACATTGTCTTCGGGTATGTTTTCCCATTCTGCTAATGCTGCATCAATAAGCTGTGCGAGATTTCCTGGATTGTTTCGACGAGCTCTAACTTTTCTTTTGAGCTGGTCCCACAAGTGTTCGATAGGGTTTAGATCTGGTGAACATGCATGACACCTTCCGTCTCAAGACATTCTCTAGCCCTTCTGCTGGTTTGGGGAGAGGCATTATCGTGCATACATTTAAAATTATCCTAATTGCAGCTCTTCAAAGCCTAATGATTAATTAATCTAAATCAACATACCGTTAAAGCTGTTGAAGTGGTAACAATGGAGTTTTTGCTCCCAGCATATTACCCCCCCAAAACATTACAGTTCCTCCTTTATATCTTGGTACAGATATGGAAGCCTGGAATCTCGATTGTCCAGTTTTGATGTTGCAGGCACCAATTTAGCCGGTCAATTTTGTTTTGCCGAGATAACTGTGGAACTCATAACTCTTTCCTACTGTACAATCCCCGAGCACGAAGCCTTTTTCTGATGGTTTCAACTGAAACGTTCACACCTGTAGCAACCAGAAGTAGTCTTTGTAGCTCTGGATTAGAAACTTGGGATGTCTTTATGCAATTTGGCACACAAAACGATTTTGTTGTTCAGTTGTGACTCTTTGACGACTTTGTCTGGACCTCTTCTTTCCTAGTTCCAAGTACCTTGCATATATGTTTTTGGTACAACACCCTGGGTAACGCTTACTATCTCTGCTACGTATCTTTGGGGCACTTCTTGTTGAATGAAAGCAATAATTTTCCTTTCTGTACATCTGTTAATCCAACATAAGGCATTTTTTAATTTTTTTGGATCGAATGAAAATTACCGGATAATCGTGATTTTATTACTGAACATAAAATTAACAAGGAAATAAATCGCCAGCAGATGTTTATTCTTTATTATTATGTTTATTTACAACAAAAAAAAACTTATCTTAAAGTTGTATTCCATTTATTTTCCTTGCAAAGAGTTTAGTCGTATAAAAAATACATTACAATTTTTCTACTAACAGGTTTTTTTAATTCAGTTATAAAGTGGCACAAAGTTGAATTCCGGATTATTTTTGAAATATTGACTCATCTCTTATTACTGGATTTATTAACACTTTTCTTCTTTCCAGGCCGAATATTGGATATACCATGCAAAGTGTGCGGTGACTTCTCTTCCGGAAAGCACTACAACATATTTGCCTGCGATGGATGTGCAGGTTTCTTCAAAAGGTCCATTCGCAGGAACAGACAATATGTCTGCAAGGCCAAAGGCGCGTGCGTCATCGACAAGATGCATAGAAACCAGTGCAGATCGTGCCGGCTCAAACGATGTGAAGAAGTGGGTATGAATAGAGAAGGTCAGTAAAACACTATTTCTTTGCATAATTTGATTGATATTCGTTGAATAACCAGACTAAGGAAAGACTGTATCTATCTAGAAAGCAATTTCTATCTATCAACCAGAGCTGAGCCCGAGTACAAAACAAAATACCCGTGCATAGTAATGAGCGAGACTGGTCTTGGACCCGTTATTGGTTAGATCTGTAAGCTAAGATCAAGACCAATGCAAGACCAAAATGCTTTATTTTTATACACGTTTCGCTAACCATGTTAGCATCATCAACAGATGGTTAAATCTAAAGTTTAGATAGAGTTTTAATCATCTGCTGAAGATGCTTCGGCAAATTTCTGAGAAATTTTTTTGTTTTAACTGACACAAAATGATAACTAGTTGTTAAAGTTGGACTAATTATGGTGGTCAACATAGCTAGATAGCTATGTTGAAGTAACGTCAGACATATCACCTATCACCAGCCACCTAGATTTTATCAAATAATAAAGATCTACTCAGATCAAATCATGTAAATGAAAATATAAGAAAATCTTTGTTTGAGGGGTAGGCAACCTTAATAGTATTTTGAAGAGACATGAATTCTCCATTGAATATCGGAATAATATTCTGGATGTTCCATTTAAAATAAAAGAGTAACATGCTTTTAAAGGTGACCAATGTTCAATATTAATTTTTTCTCACCTTGTATAACTTTTCCAATTTAGGTAGCTTTTATTGTAATTTAAAAATAATTGTTCTTTATTTTTAGAAAATGTTAAATCTGTCAAAAACCTTACACATTAGTCATATACTTCTCTTATAAAACTCACCTTTATTTTTCAATTAATATATTGGGTGTTCCATTACAAAAAACACAACTTTGATATGTAACTTTTTTTTTGGAGACACCCTGTAGAACTCTCTATATTTTTAAAAAGTGCTTTGAATTAACCTACATATGCTCACAAAATTTCATGTCAAAATAAACTGTCGTTCTCCTTGGAGCCTCCGCGGCGCCGGCGTATGAGAGGCGCTACCCTGTACATACTTATGTAAACTCAGTTAGACACTCTTTATACCTATAAAGAATGTCGTCTATCGCTTTCGTTTGATCATAAGTTAGTTTCGTTAGCCATAAACTTTCAGGCCTTCTTGTTTTTCGTAACAAGAGGAGTGGATTTAGACACTCGCTCAAAAAAAATCAGTTAAGTTTCTAAAAAATAACTTGATAACAAATAAAAATGAAGTCTAAAATAGAAACAATTGCTGTCTAGCACCGAGAAAACTGTTTCTGGAAAACAGCCCTTGATTTTTTACATGTGTAAACTTTTTCAATTTTTCAAATAATTAAAGTCACTTTACTTTTCTTATCTTATTTATATTTACTGGTAAATTACACCTAATATGATTGAATATACAATCAAACTGTAATTTCTAATTACCACTTCACATAAGTAACGAATTTTGCTACTATTACAAATTCAATGTCAGAATTCCCCACATGACATTTTAACTGATTTCTTTTAAGAGCCATTGAAGCTCACTTGAAATTAACTAGAGAGTCATACGTAAACTTTGAAACTGTTTCAAGGAGCTCGGTAAGAAACCACTACAGTTCCTGCGTCTTAACCTCAAGAGTATTTATACTTGAAGTACGGCAACTTTTTAAATTGGATTGCACCAGGTGTTGAACCGAAGGTTTCGGTTATTTTAAGGCATTAGGGGTTTGTCCGGCAGTGTTTTCTTTAGCGAAACCCGAGGGCATTTATGGTATAGACCCTTAAGAAATAATTTGTTTTTATTTTCTTTGTTGAAGTGCATTTGATGGGGTTAGGTCTGGGTGCTCTACAGGAAAAAATAATGATAACTTATATAACTTAGAAGCCATTATTTCATATCTTTTATGAAATTAAGATATACAAGGTACAAATTTCGTGGACATGGAACTACCTTGTATTTTGGGAATCAGCATAAGTTAATGAACACGATTTATTTCTATAAAAAAGTATTTCCTTAGGGGGACAACCAAATTTTTAAAAATTAACATATTTCTTATAAGAAGATATTTTAAGAACCGACATCGACATTCCGATTTGAATGAGATTTGGAGTATCTATGTGTTGCCAGGTTTTGCAACATTTGGCTTACACAAAGAAAAAAAGTGTACAGGAAGGGTGAAAACTACATTCATCACTATACAGGGTGAGTCTTAAATAAGTGCAAATATTTTCAGGGCTGGTAGATCTCGATAAAAGAAATATATTTTCTCTTTACCGTTTTTTAAATAAATCTAAAATAACCGATATAATTTACTTTGAAAATTTCCAAAAAAAAATATTTTTTTACTAAAATTTTTGAGAACCACTGGATCTTTTCTGGATTTTCTTTCTTGTAAATTTAATGTATTATGTATTATCTATGTTGCCAAATATCAACAAATCATATTTTTTAACTTAAAACTAAAAAAAAATCCAAAAATTTTTTCAAAAAATTGTTTTTCGCGAAAAAAAACCTCATAATTGTGTTTCTGGGGTTGAAATATACTCCTCCTAAAAATATTTGCACTTATTTAAGACTCACCCTGTATAAATTCTAGCAGAATTTTTTCCAACATCAACGACGACTATTTCTATTATTTAGGTACTACATTTTTTCTGTCCTGTAAAAAAAACAACATTTCGCTTAATTATTGAGAAAAAGAAAATATTTTCGAACTTGGCCCTATCTTATAAATAAAGGTGCATTCAGGCTGAGAGCGTCGAGCGTCGCGTTTGCGTCGCGTCCGCCCCATTAAACTTGAACCCCGACTCTCAGCGGACGCTAGCGCAACGTCAAACGCGACGCTGTCTGCCTGAACTGTTTAATTTAAGTTAAGTGAATTGATTCCATTTCGACACGCAGACGCGACGCAAACGCGACGCGGCGCTCGACGCGGCGCTCGACGCTCTCAGCTTGAATGCACCTTATAAAGCAACAAGTATTACAAACAAACTTACTATTTCATTTATGGAAGAAATAGAAGAATATTAAATCCAACTGTATATAAATTTCAAATATGTACAATAAGGCTTTCCCGTTATATACTCTATCTTACGTTTTAAGACACGACCTTCCTCTGATTATTAATGGTAGCTACTTTGAAAAAAAGAAAGAAAATTAAAATGTTTTGTTATATTTTAAAAGAAAATAATTTAAAGGAAAATTAAATAATTTTAGTTAGAAGCACAGAGAACACTGAAATTCTCATGAGACCATACTGTAAATTAATTATAGACTGGACAAATAAAGTAATATTTGCACTTAAAGTATATTAAGATTTCTTAAAACGTTTATATTCACTTAAAATATCGTATAATAAAGTTATAAATCGTTCGTAATTCCTCGCGTACTATTTATACTACTCCTTCAGACCATAGTACTCCAGGGACATTTCGTCGTAGATTCCCTCTTCGGCGACCTCCGCTTCGGCCAAACTTAGCACCAATTGTTTGGGGTTGATGTCGGTTATGAAGAAATCGCTGCCCAATCCGCATTCATTCACCAGTTCTTGTTTAGATACTGATGGTGAGAGGAAATCTGATAATTTTTGATTTTGAAAAAGTTACTTTGGGAGACACGCAAAAATGAAAAAAAAAGCAAATTTTAAAATTATTTTTAATAATACCAAAAAGTGTCTGGTAGGCCTTAAGTTACCTCTTTAAAATTTGGTGTGGTTCCCATCCAGAACCAAAAGATATAATACATCAAAATTCTACCAGCCGCTGTTGATAGCAAGGTTTGTTTATGCAAATTATTTGTCTGAGTATACCACCATATACAAACTCGGCCGTTAATCAATAAATTTATTTAATTCTTTTTAACAAACAGTTTTCTTAAATGGTTAACAGTATGCACAAACAGCTCCAAATTTTATTTGCCATCAAAATGGTTCTCTTTTAAATAAAAAAAGAAATCCCAAACTCAAAGAATTACATGCTAATAGTTTGCTTCAAAATGAACGCCTATCATATTTTATAAAATTATGTTGCAACATCTGTAGAAAAAAAAAACGAAACGAAAGGGGGGTAATAAATAAGATAAAATGTTAAACTAATTTTTTTTTAGATTAAACTAAAATTGTCATAAAAGAAAATAATGATACCAAACCAAATACAAAACTCAGACTAATCCAAATTTATTTTATTCTACAGTCATAGTAACTTTCAGCGCAAATTTAATTTAAACCAAGTACTTTAATTAAACACACTCTCACAGACTCAATCTCTAGATGAGCTACTGCAACCTTAAATGAACTTTTGAATAGATTGCCATCGTATCTATTATTTATTAGAATGCATAAACTAACTCTTGACTAATTTTTATCTCTTTTTCTTTACAGCTGTACAACATGAACGCGGCCCCCGAAATTCAACCATTCGACGATACATGGAAAATCAACTGCGACCGATACCAACATTGAACACGTTACCCATACCGACACCGATGTTTCCTACAACACCTCCCGTTGGCCTGAACTTAACTGTCCCCCAAAATCTGACGCCATCTCCAGCATCACTAGATTCTTCCTACTCCTCCAGAGTCAACAGTATGCCACCAAGAACATTTTTATTCAACAACCTGCCAATGGTGAGTAGAGAAAAATGTTTTATTGGTTGTAAGGTGTTCATGTACAGGGTGTCCCAAAAATTGGCAACGGAAAAATGTTTGGTCAAGGTTAAAATGTTATATTTTTTATTTTTATTCCTTTTTATTTTCTTGATATTTCGAGCAAACTGTATATAAATATATCAACTTTAATTCGCAAACTTAGTTTATTATAAACTTTAGTCTTTGACTTTTATTATTAAGAAGTTTGTTTTTCTAATGGAATAAACTTGGAAATTCCTTTTAAGTGGATTTTATAAGAGGATCAATAATTAATATTTCTCAAGAGAAATGAATGACGTTATTATACGCACGATATATTCAAGAAATAACAAACCAGATAAATTCAGTGCTTTAGATTTATCATTCTTTATAATATTCATAATATTTTAAATAATTTTTTGTGAATTCTGTAAAATTTATTTCAATGGACTTGTGGGGTTTTGTATTTAGACGCCTGATATCATAAATTTGGCCCCCTATTCCCTATTGGTCGAAAATTTATGTAGGTAATAAATTAAATAGTAAATTTCACAAGGCGAGCTACTGAACTTCTATGCGCCAGTAGCAACAGGGTGGCTATATCTATGGTGCGTTTAGACTTGAGCACACATGCACTCAGAGGCGCAACTAGAGGGGGGGGGGGGGCCAGGGGGGCTTTGCCCCCCAGATAACCCGTGTGTATCTTATAGAATTGGTCTTAACCTCACATCAATATTATCTTATAGTGTCCTAAGCCCCCCCCCCCCAAGAGAGTTAATCCCCCTAAAAGTATATGTTTAGTTGCGCCCCTGCACGCACTGATCCTCCGCGAATGCACGAGCAGCCGCGAACGTGAGCCGTCTGATGTCGGTTTTTGGTCCGTGCTCAAAGGGATTTTAGGTGTGCGCGAACGCTCAGTTTGCACCGGCAATTTGTTTTGTCTGCGTTCGTACGTGCGTGTGTGATTTTTTTTTCGTTTTCTTTATTAAAATTATGGAGTGGATCAATGAATCTTCGTTATTATTAATTGAAGAATATGAAAGGTTGCCTATATTATGGGATGTTAAACATTCTTTGTATTATTAAGAAATAAAAAAACGCATGACAAGATCTTGTAAATAAAATTAATAATGAATATGTCGATATTAATGAAATTCATACAATTTCATCAACGAAATTGTAATTTCATACATCATATGTATGAATTATTTACTATATATATATATATATATATATATATATATATATATATATATATATATATATATATATATATATATATATATATATATATATATATATATATATATATATATATATATATATATATATATATATATATATATATATATATATATATATATATATATATATATATATATATATATATATATATATATATATATATATATATATATATATATATATATATATTATTATTATAACTCATACATCACAATATTCAAAGTCGGGTCTGGTCATTCTTGTAAAGTTTTTGAACTGATCATATATATATCAGACACTAGACACTAAGTTGTTGCAGTAAATTATATCGATTTCTGAAAATTTGGGTTTGCCACCAGCGACGATGTTTTTCGATTTTTTCCTTTTAATAATTAAGCTGTGCATAACAATGACTGCAGCCTCGAGTATTTCTTGGTCGTCCATTATTTTGCCAACACAACTCTGCTGTGCGCGCACAAATGGATCACTTCATTCTTCATTCGTCGAAAAATAAGTTTTTTAATTTGAACGGAGCGCGCACGCTCAGCTCGTGCGTGCTCAAGTCTAAACGCACCATAAGGTCCGACCGAGATCTCGGTCTCGGTTGCAGTCATTCTCTGTAAAAAAATCAGGCCGAGATCTCGGTCTAGTTCTCGGGATAAAAAGGCCGAGACTATCGGACACGGCCGAGACTGCCCACGATCGTTAAATTAGCTTATTTTTGAGCGTATCGCTCCACCTATCGATGCGTAGATGAATGAAATACACGTCCGAAAAAAAGAATAGGTCATATCTGATATACAGGGTGTCCCAGAAATAAGTGCAATTATTTTAAGGGCTGGTAGATCTCGATAAAAGAAACATATTTTTTCTTTATCGTTTTTCAATCAAGTCCAAAACAACGGAGTTATTTTACTTTGAAAATTTCCAAAAAAAATGATTTTTTGCTAAAATTTTGAGAACCACTGGATCTTTTCTGGATTTTCTTTCTTGTAAATTTAATCTAATACCTATGTTGCCATATTATCAAGAAATTATGTTTTTCAACTAAAAATTAAAAAAAATTCCAAAAAAATTTTCAAAAAATTTCGAATCTTCAATTTTTTTTTTCGCGAAAAAAACCTCATAGGCGTGTTTGGTTTGGCCTGGGCTGAACTATACTACCAGTTAAAATACTTGCACTTATTTATGGGACATCCTATGATTTAACCAAATCACGAAAGGGATTTCCCGGACAGCTGAAGAATCGCCTTCGTATTCCGATGCTGAAACTAAACAATGAACGAAATTAAAATTACAAATTAATGTAAGTTTTATAAATTTAACAGAATTGTGCTTTTATATGAATTACTCGTATATCCTACTAATAAGTAAATTTTTTGTGTTTAATTATTCACCTCCATACAGAGTTCCGAAACCAGCAGCTTATAAATTTCTAGTCTCCACCACTAACAAGCGTCTCTAGTAAACAACTATTTAAAAAGAATAATGATGAAACACTGCATAATTTGAAAGGATGCAATGCTGCAAAATTCGTTTTTAGCCTATAACATAGACTAAATAAAGTAATTTTAATAGTATTAGTAATTTTATAGCATTAAATCCCAATAAAACCGTTTCTGCATGAAAATAACGTTTTTATTACATTATTATCTATTAAATATATATTGTATCGTGTCTCGGTCTCGGTCTCGTTCTCGGTCGAGAATCTCATTTTATCTCGGTTTCGGTCTTGGTCGAGACTAAAAATCCAGGTTCGGTCGGACCTTAGCTATATCAGAGAGAAGGTGAAGGAGCAGATGATTTGACTGGAAATGTCATGGATTTGTTGGTACCAAACCAACAGTCACCCTTGGTGTTTGAAAGTTATAAAATAATAAAAGTTAGTAAATCACTGCTGACAAGTTTATTATTTTGTAGATTTTCTTACAGTATTTTTTATTTGAAGAGCAAATTGTTTTTTTTTAAATAGATATCCAATGCATTCAAAATACAAATTTTTAAAGATCTCACGTAGAGGAGGGGATCGAAACAAATTTCCAGTGTGGGAGGGGAGTCAAGTCGATTTCTTTACAACAGTTTCTTTTTAATTTTTCTAAAATACCATATTTTTGTTACAGATCTCACCATTACCACCACCTTTCCATATCGCTCTACCTGCCATGGTCAGCCCCCCAGTCTCACCGCCTCAAGCGTCAACTCCTGAAGAACTATGCGAAGCTGCCGCTCGACTCATGTTTGTTGTGGTACAGTGGGCCAGCAGTAATGTCCTAATGCAGACGCTGCCCTACGAAGACCAACTGGTCCTTCTGGAAGAACGCTGGAAGGACCTTTTTATCCTGTTCGGGTCACAGTTCTTGCCACACAACTTGGAACCTCTACTCGATTGTAATCCTTCCTTCAAAAACGACAGCGAGCTTCGGGAGAAAGCTGCTCAGCTTCAGGAGGCACTGAGGAAAATCAAGACTTTTTCTTTTGATCAATACGAACTTTCCTCTTTAAGATGCATGTACCTGTTTAGCAGGAGTTCGATCGCTGAATCTTCCGTGTCCTCAAGACTGCGCGAAAGTGACAGGATCAAAGCATTTTTTAAAGACTTTTACGAGTGTTTTGTGTCGTACAACTATGTGATGAAAAGGGACTTCCTCAGACCGGGGTGTTGTCTACGGTCACTGGACGCGTACTTTAGTTCAGTACCGGTGAGCCTTATAGAGGAACTGTTTTTTAAGTCCACCGTGGGTAATACTTCAATGAATAAAGTTGTTGTAGACATGTACAAAAGTCAACGAAAAGTCTCTTAACAAATGCGAATGCTGCTATACAGTCTGATGAAAAATTATTTTATGGCTAAGTAGTTTTTGGACAATGGTAAATAATTTCTATAGGAAATTAGAGTAGAACTTGGTTATAAAACTTTTTTTCAGACGGTAAATGTCAGTATCAATTTTGATAATGTTGATGAGGAGTTTTAGAGTCAGAGATATATGAGACCAAAGTTGTTAAAGCATGCATAAAGACCAATAAAATTGGTGTGATAAAGAGAATTTGACATACTTACAACGCAGAAGTCTTTTAGCTTCAAATATTTTATTGGGCAAAATCAAGACCTTTTATTTCGAGCAATACGAAATGTCCTCTCTAAGATGCATGTACCTGTTTAGCACGAGCTCGATCGTTGAATCTTCCGATACCTCAAGACTGCGCGCACAAAACACATATACGGAAGAAGTGCAAGCGCCCTGTTAAATATTGGAAACTGTAATTGACGCGTAAATTTGACATTGTTGACAAGCCTACTGCTACTAGCGCCCCCACTATCGCTTGTAGGAACTACGGACTATATTGTCACGTATGGCGGGAAGAAAATAAACAAAATGGCGGCAAGTCAACGACCCGACAAGGAGAAAAGTGGTGTTCGAATGACAAATTATGGGTCATCAAAAATTGTTTGTCTCCTTTCAACGCACGCTTAAGAACGAAAAATAGATGAACTCAATTTCTGAAAGATCGTCAAGGTTTTATCTGTCACTCTTGTCAATAATTTATCGGTAAGGAAGATTCCTAGAAAATCGCTTCTCCCATAAGAAGTGTCATCCCACTGACTGCGCGAACTTGACAGAATCGAGGCATTTTAGAGACTTTTGTTTTGCGTCATACAACTATGTGGTGATAAGGGACTTGCTTAGACCGGGGTGTTGCCTACGGTCACTTGACGCGTACTTTAGTTTTCAGTACCAGTGAGCCTTATTGGGAAACTGTTTTTTAAGTCCACCGTGGGTAACACTTTAATGAATAAAGTTGTGGTAGACATGTACAAAAGTCAACAAAAAGTTTCTTAATAAATGCGAATGCTGCTAGACAGTCTGATTAATATTTATTTTATAGCCAAGTAGTTTTGAACAATGGTAAATAACTTTTGTGGGAAGTTACAGTAGAACTTGGTTATAAAACTTTTTTTTCAGACGGTAATGGCGATCGAGAAATATTTAGGCATTTCCAAGTTTTTGAATAAGTACTAATGTACTACCATTTTTTTAAAAGGTGTACCTATGCCCTTTTGCATCTAACACCTTTAAATATGATATTAACTTGCCGAGTGTATTTTTATGTAAACTTAAGAAAATTGTGATAATCAAAGAACAAAAAAACACGCAGAAGGCGAATTTTTGTGTGATATTCTTTATACCGAGATTAAAAATATTTTAAAGACTACTTACAGAGTGCCATATAAAAAAGTAATATTTAATACAGTATGATTAACCTTATTATACTCAAGATGTACCATATTTTGTAGTCATTTTTAATATAAATGAAACAAATTTTACATGTTTATATCTTTATAATATGATCATTAATCAGTACCAATATTAAAAAACCATTGTTTTGAAAATATAAGCAAATGTAAATTCAAAAACTTTTGTAAACTTTAAAAATGATGTATTTTTCGCATAATTTTTGCCATTTTTTTTTAAATGGGTGAGTAAATTTAGTTAAAAATTAAAATTTACATACCTACAAAAAAGTTTTTAAGTGATTAACACAACAAATTGACTTAATATTTTGACTTACGTACTTAAAAGTAGGTATATATATGCAGGTTCAGTCAATGATTGGTATAAAATAGTAGAATATAAATCTACACGCAATCAATGATTTTGCCTGTATTGAAGCTGTGATCGAAAAATTAATTAGTATATTTTTTGTATATATTTTTATAAAGAAAAAATCTGTACGACATAGATTGATAAAAAAGAATCAATATGTGTCATCTAGTTTCATAATTACGTAGATTTTTAAATTAATTTGTCTTTTTATGTGATTTCTACATTCCTTTTCATATTTGTGATATTTGTTTTCATATTGTGTGTTATATTTGTGCCAAGATAATATTGTAAATATAATTATTTCGAGATCATACGAGATTAATCATACGAAATTAATAGTCCTACTTAGTTATGAAACTAGACAAAATTAACAAACTGTACAATAGAAAAATGTATATTTTATATAAGATTTTTTATTATAAACTGAAATTTAATAAAATATTTTTTTAAATATTGAATCTGTTTTTTATTCAATTTCTGCCTTCGAATTTTATTATTTCTCCAGTTAAATATAGTACCATCACAGGTTACAGTTGAGAGTTGGAACCTTTGGTGTTACACAGCAAAATAAAACACTAAAACACCACAATACACCAAAACACTTTTACTGTTACACTGGACGCGCGTTTTGCTAACCATATTAGCATCATCAGCAGATGATTATAAACTGAGTTTATAACTGAGTTAGATTATAAACTGAGTTTATATTCATCTGCTGATGATGCTAACATGGTTATCGAAACGCGCGTCCAGTGTAAAAGTAAAAGTGTTTTGGTGTATTGTGGTGATTTAGTGTTTTATTGTATATATCACAGGTGAAAAACTTGATAAGCGCCAAATTCTTAATTTTAGAATTTTATAATATTATAGTAGGTCTAACTGAATCCCTGCAAAATGTATATGCAGGGCAATAATTTGTTAAATCCTAAAGAACCTGATAACCGCCAGCCGTCCAGTACTCTCCTGTAAAATTAGTAAAATGGCGCTTATCTTGTTTTTCCCCTGGACCCTTCAAATTGTTTGAATAAAGTTAAGTTGGTATAGGAAACATAGGTAAAGAAAGCCAGGCTAAAATCAAATGATATAATTTGATGATATATTATTTAATACTAGCAGCGGCGTAGGGGATAATACAAGAGGATGCAATAAGTAACTGGCAATTAACATTTTACCAACACAATTTTTTTTTATTAAAGTCTTTGATTCTGATATTACAAAAATAAAATATAAAAAAATGTAACAGGTTAAAAAAAGATCAAACCAATTTAAAAAAGGAACTAAATTTATTTAGGAAAAAAATAAAGCTATGAACGTATCTAGATTTAAAATTTTAAAATTAAGATCAATTCTTCTAATATACATATTTACGAAAAATTTTATTACATTTTCTTAAAAATGAAAAAGAAGAACGCATACCTACTCTCTAGTAATGAACAATTCAATTCAAAGTTCATCATAAATCATCGTGGCCGGTAGTATTCTATACATTTTTCTCCTTGGAAAATAGTAGACAAGGCCAACTAAAAAGTCTATTGAGTACATTACAACCACATAACCAGTGTTCGATATATAGACATTTTCACTAAAATGACGAATGCACGATTTTAATTTAGTATTAATCTCGGTATTAATATTCAAAATATGCTTTGGAGGTCCTTCAGTAGTTTTGAATGCAAAAATGAAAAAAATGGATGATTACAAATTTTTGAATCACTATTTTACAGCCGCGCTCATAACCGGTCATAGCGACGCGCGACGGTATTTTTTATTTTATACTGCGATGTGTTTCAGAAACCGCATCACCTACCGACTAAATGATCGATTTCCTAGTGGCCGCGGCCCGCCGCGCCGCGCTGCTCAATCAGTGGAACGGCTATATGAGGACTTGAGGACAGAGAGACATTGTAATATTTTGGAAAAATTTTACTTATCTGCATTTATGACAATAAAACAGATTTTGTACTTGAAAACATAATAATTTATAATTTTTTATTGTTGTCGATCCAATAATATATAATGTGTTCTTTTTTTATAAATTGGATTAGGATCGAAAGAAATCAACAGAAGTCCTTTGTTTTAAATTTTGACAATACCACTATTTTACAAACACAATCTAATTATAAGAAAAGATTATTTGCAGAGATGATAGAAATCCAAAAAAACAAAAATTGCGTTAATAAAAGAACAGACGTAGAAAACCTGAGTACAGCATATTTTAATATTCTTTCAAAAATTAAATAATATAACTTCAAAATAATGGTTTAAATCCAAATAATATTTTTATATGTTTCTTTTTTCAACTGTTCTTTATCTCCAGGTAAAAATTATATTAGTATTTTATCAACTAGAATTAGTTGCTCTCTGTATACGGTCAACGTAGGTACATCTGCACTGCTTGTCTGTGAAAGGAAAAGATTTTTCGTGATATTTCTCTATACATAATTGTGTTATATGTTTTTTTTTTTGTAAGTGTGTTATGTGTTTTAAAAGGAAAAAAGGGATATATACCACTCCCCTCTATACCATCCGTGTATTAATGGATATGACTAAGAAAGTCCAGATTTAAATGTGAGTAACATATACATATATTTTATTTAATTGTTAACATTAGGGGTAGTTTACCAATTGTATATGTGTGGAATTCCACTGATATGTGTGTTTTGGGTTGTTTGTTAAATTTTTGAAAAAACTTTTATTTGATTGTATTTTCTGCTCTCTTAACTTTGTAGTGTCCTGAAGATGCAAATAAATTTTGCGAAACGTCGACAAATTTAAAACAAAGGACTTCTGTTGATTTCTTTCGATCCTAATCCAATTTATAAAAAAAGAACACATTATATAATAATTTATATATTTATTTTTTTTTATGTTTCCACTTATTTATTATTTATTTTCTATTAAAATTAATTTTTCTAAACGGCCAAACAATAGATAATTTAAAACTTTACATGTTAATGAATTTTTCAATTCAATTCCCCATGTTAATGAATTTTTCATAAGTTATAATAATAAATTATAATAAATATATAAAATAAATATAAATAAAACATGTACCTGAACATGCTTTTCACAAATTAAAGTTTTTCTACACATTAGGGTGTGGAATAAAATAAACATGTATATCTTAAACATCTTAATTATTGAGATGTAGAATGTAGAATGTTTAGGAGGGGAGTTAATCACCGCGACCTTATAGATCTATTGTGTGTTCCCCTTCCTTGAGTTATAACGAGTTATAACTCATCATACAGTCTCAGGGCTTTAACAAAAGCAAGTACCTGAGACGGCTCCACGGAGGCCAGCTCTCCATCCTCGACATCAGCCGTATCAAAGTTCATGGCACAAATTTACTTGAATAAATTTACTGAGAATTTTAATTTAGAACTTTAATTTATTTAGAGACAAAAACTGTAGTAAATACTATACAGGGTGGCGCACCTCATTCGCGACGGTTGATTATACGAAAACGGAAAGATGTAGAAACAAAATATTTTATGAATATATGTGGGGAGGTAATGTGCACAATTTAAAATTATTTTGAAATGTACAGGGTGTTTCAGAACTAAGATCCATACCAAAGTTATATTTTTTCTTATGGAACACCCGGTATTTTATTTCATTTTTGGATTCTTGGACCCAAAAAAGGTATTTATTATAAGGGTTAAATATGTTTAAAATTTTTGGTTTTTGAGATATTTATAGATATTTAAATTTGCAGGCTACAATAGAATAGATTATTAACACCCTGTACACTACTTTTCAGAATTAATTATTGTGCTAAGTTTAAAGGTAGAGAAATAAACTTTACAGAAAAATAATATGTCTTCCTTAAATGTATACAGGGGTATCAAAAATTGCTGGTATATATTAAATATTTATTTTACATAAAAACTTCGTTATTTCAAATGCAACACTATGTATTTTTTTTAAATAAGTCGAACCAGATTTAAATGTTCTTTCAAACTATATTAGGGTTTCCTATACCTATCTGGCTCAGATTTTGAATAAAAAGCGATTTTTCAATAAAATTGTAATCAAGATGGCTAGCGTTGTCATGCATGGCAAGTTTCTAGTGACAGTTAGTACCTATTTTCAAAATCGAAATTAGTTTATGAACTTATTTAAATGTATACCAGTTTACTTTTATTTAATTTACCTACAATAGTTTAATAAATAATATTTATTAAATATGTGTTTATTATTCTATCAAGAAAAACGAAAAAGCAAAAAATTACAGCAAATTAATTTTCTTCACTTCCAACGATATGGTGCGTTTAGACTTGAGCACGCACGAGCTGAGCGTGCGCGCACGGTATTCGTTCGCGCTCTCGGCTCCGTTCAAATTAAAAACTTATTTTTCGATGAATGAAGTGATCCATTAGTGCGCGCACAGCAGAGTTGTGTTGGTGAAAATAATGGATGACCAAGAAATAGTCGAGGCTGCAGTCATTGTTATGCACAGCTTAATCAGGAAGATTCCTATTTGGATATCTTTGATCATAAGCCCTTGAGGCCAAGAAGCAATTTTGCTCACAAAATAATATCACTAGTAACATATCTATTCTTTCCGCCAGCAGATACTGCTTTATTTTTCTTGATGAAATAATGAATACTTACTTATTAAACTATTATAGATAAATTTAAGTAAACTGTTATAAATTATAAATAATAATGTCCATAAACTAATGTCGACTTTGAAAATAGTTACTAACTGTCACTAGAAAATTGCCATGGCTACACCAGCCACCAGCCATCTTGATTGCAATTTTATTTAAAAATCGCTTTTTATTCAAAATCTGAGCTAGATAGGTATAGGAAACCCTAATATAGTTTGAAAGAGCATTTGAATCTTCTTCGATTCATTGTAAATAATACAGGGTGATGTATTTGAAATAACGAAGTTTTTATATAAAATAAATCCTTAAAATTGGTCAACAACTTTTGATAGCCCTGTATAAATTTAAGGAACCAATACCATTTTTCAGTAAAGTTTATTTCTCTACCTTTAAACTCAGCATAAGAATTAATTCTGAAAAGTAATATACAGGGTGTTAATAGTCTATTCTATTGTAGCATGCAAATTTAAATATCTTTAAATATCTAAAAAACTAAAGATTTTAAACATATTTAACCCTTATAATAAATGCCTTATTTTGGGTCCAAGAATCCAAAAATTAAATAAAATACAGGGTGTTCCATAAGAAAAAATATAACTTTGGTATGGATCTTAGTTCTGAAAGACCCTGTATATTTCAAAATAATTTTAAATTGTGCACATTGTCTCCCCACATATACCCATAAAATATTTTGTTTCTACATCTTTCCGTTTTCGTATAATCAACCGAGGCGAATGAGGTGCGCCACCCTGTATAGAGAGACAAT